ATTTTTTTTTTTTTTTTTTTTTAAATATCCAACTTTTCTCATTCGGAAAAGCAAAACTCTGTCTGTTGTCTCTTACACAAACAGTCAAAGACAAGCATGTGTACCCTGGAGGTTTTCTTTATTTTCTGATGGAAAAAATGCCAGAAAGTGTATTTTGAATAAGGGTATCACCGTATAACATGTATGTTAGATAAATTACAGCATATAAAAAATGTTGTTTTTACCTACATTTCGATACCAGTTTAATTTCTACAGTATGAAGGTAAAGTTTTGCATGTCTTCATGATATATACCAAACTTGCTGTTCTTCAAAGGGAAACGAGTATGACTTTTTTTTTTTTTCAGGTTTGGTTCATTTTACATTGACTTTTTAGTAAACCCAATTGTTTGTTGTGTGTTCTACTCAGGGCTAAAAGCATTTTATGGCAAGAAAGCACGGCTGAAGACTGAAATAACAAAACGGCAACATGAAAACTATGTCCAGGCTGAAGAAAAAAGGCAGGTCAGTAACTGTTAATCATGCGTTCTCTGTCAAGGTTACAAGTCTCTCATAGCCAACAGAAAAAAGCTGTGTTTAACAAAGCAACAACAGATGAGAACCAGCTGGGTCATTCTGCCAGCAGACGGTCAATGAATCATCACAGGAAAAACATCACAAGCTCGACAGATGTAATCTTTCATTACTGCATGACATTGTTATTCCATGTTGTCTCCTGTTAAATTACTTATGTGGTGCCCGTGTGACTACCATATGACCCTAACAAATTACACCTTACTAAACAATTCAGTGTAGTTGTGTAATGGTGGAAAATATGAGCTACTCTTGTTGTGATTTCAGGAGCCCTCCAGTTCAGCCCCATTACTAGCACAAACACGGAAGCTCACCCATCATGCTTTGCTGAAAACGGTACCATATAACAGCTGTCATAGAAAAACCAGGTGAGTGATTACTTTGTATGAGAGTTGTTGTCTGTATTTAAAGCCATACAATAAAAAACACAATTTAAATTATTTGTCACTCTTTTTAAGTACAAAATCTGAAAAAGTGACAGCAAGTGCCAGCTCAAACCCCAGTGACAACATGACATCTGCCTGCTGGGAGTCTGGCATTTCAGTGAACACGTCACAAAGCAACTCTACTGTCTGTTCAACAGGTAAGGTCTGCTAGAGAAAATGTTTTATTGTCAGCTTTTATTTTGAGCAAACCTCGGTCATGATTTTGTATAAACTCCTTTTGTAGCCAATAACGAGCCACATCCATCAAAAGATACTGCCGAATGTCAGGCTGCAGAGAGACAGGAGGCTGAACCCATTACTGCTCAGAGGAAGAGGGAGCTGGAGCACTATCTCAAACTGAAAAGGTGCCTAAATGTTGTGGGACTTTCACTTTCTAATGTTGTACATTTTCACTACTTTTATCACATCTGCATGTAGGTCACTATTAGATTTTCAGTGCATTTCATCTATTTTTTTTGTTGGTGTTGTTTTATCATAGTGACGGGTGGCTGCAAGACCACAGCGGCAAGTGGGTTAAAGACGAGAATGTCGAGTTTGATTCAGATGAGGAAGAGCCACTTACGCTTGCCCCAGCGCCTGCAAATAAATGAGAGCACCAGAATGGTGTGGACGCACAGATAAAACTTGTACCACAGTGGTACGTTCACGAGGCGCAGTGCTGCATAAAACCGACAGCTCAATGTGAAAAAAATATTTAACAGATTTATTCTGTTCATCAGCCTTTTTATGTTGTTTTTTTGTTTGTTTGTTTTTTTTAAAGCTACTGATTGTTCAGCGTCTAACTCTTTCTTCCATCCAGGATGTGATCAATAAAGGTTGCTACAGAGTCAGTCTTTATTCAAGTGACAACTTTTCATATCCAGTTATATTTTATGCTTAAGGCTGAACCTTGGTTGGCTTATCATAGTCCACCCTGAAAAGCATTGAGTTGCAGGAAAGTGATAAGAATTAACCAATGGTCTCTGAATTTGAGTACAGCTTACCTGTCATGGAGGAAATTCCTCTACACACATAAAGAGTCCTGAATGGAAGAGTCTGAAATCGTTTACACCTGTGAAAGAGACAAAGCACTCATGTTACCGGCACTTTTCCTTAAAATGTTCTGTGTGAATATTTTTTGTTACATTAAAATCCAACACCGCTCCTCCAATCTGTTGAAAAGATTTGTGTAATGTGACCTCTGCTTGGCCCCCCCCGACAGGTTGTGCTTCTTCATGCGGGAAGAGCAAGTTTGTCCCAAAGATGTGTTAAGATTTGGCTCTTTTGTCTGCTGCATGTTTGATTCCCTACTTGCACAAGCAGATTAAGGTAACATCAGAATTCTGGGAAAGGTGATTTTGGAAATATTCATATTCAATACGACTGACCAAACTCTTCATGTTATTAAGAAGTTGGAAAATACTCAAATTGGCATTTGCCTGATTATCTGGCAGAAATTCAGAACATTTTTAAAATCTGTATAGAATTTATACATTAAAACATCTGCCTTAGCTTTAAAGACATAAAGATTAAGACTGAAAAAGTAATCCTGGACTGTTGAACAACTTTCTTCTTTTGTGGTGGATCACTCACAAAACATTGTCCCAACATATGTGATAGCTCTGTTTTTTAAAACTTGTTATTGTGATGTAGTTGGGGGTTTGTGTTCATTAAATGAAATTAGTTTTATAAGAAAATCATTCTCATTCTTGATCACCAGGATGTTCTTTTGCCAAAACATCCCGCCTGAACATGAAACATCTTAGAAGTCTGGAAAGACTGGATAAACTGTGCCATCCTCAGTGACATTAACCTTACATCTTTTTCATGGCTCCTCTAGAATGAAAGAAGCAGGTTTAAAAGCTCGGGCAACAATTTTCAGCTGAACTTCTGACCTTTATAATTATTGTGACTATTTTCATTACCCTTTTCTTGTTCATCGTGTCCTTTCCATTTGAGTTCAGTGAGCTCTGTGATACGATCAATTCTCAGCCAGCTTTCCTATAAATCAGCAGCAGATTGGCTGTATTGGTGCTAATCTGTGCGTTCGTTTAAAGCTCCTCTCAGCACAGTTGGTATAAATTGGATAACATCAGGGTCAGTGGAAGGGGGCAAAGGGACTTAACGTGGGTTAGTTTCTGATGACATGGCTAATATGTTTCAGAAGCTCACTCACTTCATTAGTTTGGAGTTAAGAGCGTCACCACGGTCTTAAAACGTCTTTGTAGGGATTTGGAAGTATGTTAGAGCGTTTTAAGACAAATTCAAATCTGATATTTCAGTATTACTGTTTACGAAACAGTAGAAGCATAAATACAATGTGGTGAATACATTTGTGACAGGGTTACAGTCCAAATATACATTCGTGTTTTACTGGAAACTAAGAAGTGGAAGAGAAACTCTCAGAATAGATGTGGTAAGGCAACACTGACTTGAAAGTTTTACACAAAGCCAAATGTCAGTGAAGCTTGCAGTTTTAAAATGTGACCTTTGAGAAATCTAAAAAGCATATGTGGTCTTGTCAAACTTGACATTAGGTGAGAAGTCTTTCAAGAAATGGATTAATGAAACGAGAGGTGGAAGGCAGGGATGCAAGCAATGCTGTGAAAATCCTGAGAGGTTAGCAGCTGTTTCTGCTCATAAATTTCTGTGGGTGCATTAGGGTGCAACCCTCTTAAAGTTAGTTCTTATATTTGGAACAAGGTAACTCAAGCTCAGTGGGCTAGGATCCGTTTCACATTTGCGTTGGGCCGAGTGAGATGTAAAAATAGCTCAGGTGCCTGGAGGAAGTCTAAAGATCAGAAGAAACTGTAAGCGATTAAAGGGCTGTGATTTATTAAATCAAGGGGTTTTTTTGAGGGGGGGGGGGTTATCTAAAATGCTGAATGTGTTAGTTTTAGGAAATAATTTCATATAATATTTACCACAGAAAATGAGATTATGATTATAACGGTTCCGATTATGTATACTGCTGTGAAAAACTATTTGCACCCCTTCTGATTTCTTAAATGTTTCAGATCATCAAGTAAATTTTAATATTAGATGAAGATAACCTGTAGAATGCAGTTTTTAAAAATCATTTCATTTATTAAGGGGAAAAGAGTTATCCAAACCTACTTGCCCCCTAAACCTTATAACTGGTTGTGCCACCCATGACGGCAAAAACTGCAACCAAGCTTTTGTAAGGAATTTTGAATTGAAGGGATGAAGAATTTTGGTCTGCTGTTCTTTGCAGAATAGTTTTCATGCAGTCACACTGGAGAGTTTTCCTGCATGAACCTGTTTAACGACTCAGTTTTGCCGCCTAAGTGGGCTTGATGCTTCAGGTCATGAAATGATGGCCGGACATTCTGATATTCTGATTCACGGTTCCATCAGTTACCGATCCTGAAGCACTAAAGTGCAAGCCCCAAACCATCACACTGCCACCACCAGGTTTGACTGTTGGTTTGCTGTTGTTTTTTATGAAATGCTGTTAGCTTTGTGCCAGATTTACCCCACTCAAGCCTTCCAGAAAGTTCAGCTTTGTCTCATCAGTCCCCCAACATTTTCACCAAAGTCTTGGAGATCATCAAGATGTTTTTGGGGGGAAATATGAGATGAGCCTTTGTGTTCTTTTTGGTCAGCTGTGATTTCTCTCGTTGGAACTCTCCAATGGATACCATTTTTGCCCACTCTCTTTGTTATTGTTCAATCATAAGGGAGGCTTTTGGTTCTTTAGATGTTATGCTGGGTTCCTTCGTGACCTCCAGGATGAGTTCTTGATGTCCTCTTGGAGTCATTTTGGTACGTTGGCAATTTCTGGTACGGTTCACCATTGTTCTAAGTTTGGTCCATTTTGGGGATAATGGCTCTCACCGTGGTTCGTTGGAGTCCCAAAGCCTTCCCATATAGATGTCAAGGACTTTGTATTTCTTCTTCTGTTCTTGAGTCTAAATCTTTTAGCCGACTTCACTTTGTCAGTCAGGTTTTATTTAAGTAATTTCTTGATTCAGGTGGTTAATCACAGATGTTAATTCATTGTTTACAAGATGGCAATTATTTGATGGACACAATTTTGAAAAGAAAATGCTGTCACTTTTGTAAATAGCAGTTTATCCAGTATCAGTGGCTCAAATACAGATTACTCACAACCTGTAGATAGTCTCCTTAAATGTGCCAAAGTATGATTTTTTTTTTCTTGGTGCATTTAAAACAATATTTGTTGAGTATAATATTTATGTGTGCAATAAGAATTAGAAACAATAAAATTAAACTTACCAAACAATTACAAAAAATAATCGAATATATATTTTTATTTAAAGTATTTACAGATTTTTTCCCCCCCTCTCCCACAGATGATATAGCACCACATTGAGTTAGTGAATGAAAATAGTTAACTATTTGTTTGGGTTGATGTTGGTGACGCATAAACTAAAAGCACAAAAAAGACACTTCAGGTTGTGCTTGTGATCTCTACATGCCTTTATGAGAAATTCAGCAACCTACAAAACTCTTGCTGCAGTAAATGAAATGAATGGTTGAACATGGATGTTAGACATGGTTTCCCCCAGGCACAGTGACCAGAATTAATTTGGAAGAATTCATTCAGCTCTGCTGCACCACAGTGAGCTGGCACAAGAGTCATCCGTTTTTGCAGGCTTCGAGGGGCTAATGGTTGCTCTTCTGCTCACTCCTTGTCGTGTTCATCTTAATCTTTGCTGACGAACTATGTAAAAGAGAGAAGATGCCGATTTCATATTCTGTTGCACAATCCAATAACACTTTAAATGATTCCTTGTATTATACATGAATATTTCAAGACTATCTGACCATGGATTCAGGTTTCTTACTCATGTCATTGTTTCGTGTGATGGCCATGGCGGCTCTGGCTCGGGGACCCTGCTGGGTGAAGTGGTAGCCAAATCTCAGGATACTGGAGTTGTTCTCCAACATGGAGGCAATCTCCATCTCAACCGAGTCTCCAAGTTTTTGTCGCTATATGATACATGAAAGGATAACACAATCAAGCACTGAGTCCTTTTTTCCATTGTGAATTAAATTTGAAAGCAGTAAGAAAAGCATGTCATTGTGTATGAGTATTAACTCAGTTATTTCATACTTGGACAATAAAAATTAGGATGTCTTGTTTTGGTTGCTGTGCATAAGTCTTTTTTTATATGTTACCATGAAAATGGGAAATGCATGCAGTGATGGAAATGGCAAAGTCTGCACAGTTCTAATGAGCTTGAAAATTAATAGTTGGTGTTACCACCATTTTTCTTCTTTTAGGCAGACTTATAATTTTTTTTAAATAGTCTTCAGGAACAGTTCTCCAGGTTTCTTGAAGGACATTTAAAGCTTCTCTGCCAAGACGATCCCACACTGCTTCAGTAATGTTCAGGTCCAGCCTCTGGGGAGGTCATTCCATGTTTCATTGTGTTTTTCAATTTAATTTCTTTCTTTTTTTTAGATTACACCGCACATCATGCTGAAATATGCCAAGTCTTCGGCTAATAGCTCTTTTGGAATCACTTTGTTGGTACAAAATTACAATTTAATATCTGTAAAGCTGTAGATGTTGGCATTGTTTTGCACACAAATGGTACGTTTGTGTGCCAGGCTTAAATTATTCTACAGGTGAGTGTCAAAGTGGCTTGCAAATTATCAGCTGTAGATGCACAGCATGTCCAATAATTAGTTTCTAACCTGGTTGTCAATCTTGAGCTCCATCAGTGTGGCGTTATTAGCCATTGCTTTGATGA